CGTAACTGAATCATGGGGGCGATGACAGGGAAGGTGGTTGAGGCGGAGGGAAAGATGGAGGAAATGAGACAGTGGAGGCGGAGGTTGGATAGCGGTAGTAGGGAAGATAACGACTTTGCGGGTGAGATGTTGGTGGCGGGGGAGATGGCATGATTACGTAATTGAATCATGGGGACGACGACAAAGAGATGGTTGAGGCAGATGGTGGAAATGAGACAGTGGCGGAGGAGGTTGGATAGCGGTAGTGGGGAACATAGTGACTTTGCGGGTGAGATGCTGGTGGTGAGGGAGATGGAAGAGGTGGAGGGGGAGATGGCGGCAACGGGGAAGATGGTAGCGACGGTGGCGGTAGTCGAAATGGCGTTGATGGGGGGGTGACAAGAAAGATGGCAGAGGCAGGCAGGAAGATGGCGGAGGCAGGAAAATTTTCACACTGGATTTTTCTTTCTTTTTGCCTGCGTGAAAATGAATTTGATCCGATTTCACCCTTGCTGAAAATAAAACTGATTATGTAATTGATTTTATTCCTATATATGTGTTTTGCAACTCGTGCGAAAATGAAATCGATTACGTACTTGATTCCCTTCTGGCACGTAGTGTTTAAAAAACAGCCTGTATGGCAGTGACCCACATACTCATACATATATATACGTATCAGTTGTTGTTGGAACAATCCACAACCTCACAGTGAAACCTACATACACACACATTTGCATACACTAGTACACAAACTTCCACACATACAATTACATTGTTGCATTAGTATGTGATTGTTGCAGGAAGATGTCTGATGCAATACAAGGTATATATCAGGTGACATTTTGTAACATGAGGATCGTTTTTGCACTGGTCATGAGAAGATAGACTACGCCATACAGTTATTTTTGCATGCAGCTTCCAATAAAATATTTATTCTTGTGCATAACAAACCCAAAACCTTAACATATTGACGATAATATCTTTTAATTTTTTGTGCTACCTCTGTTTCATTACCTATCCAAAAAATATCCGTTTCTAGCGAGATTTGGTGATAACGAACAATGCATGTCTTGTATGAGAACCCTAACTCTTCAAGTTTTTTAATCGGTCAAATTTTCAAGAGATATCCACTTTTTACAAACTGCCTGTTTTTAGAGTGCGCAGGTTGACACTTAAAAAATCGAGAGTCATCTCAATGAAATCTATCTAACTAGGCCTGATGGTTTTTCGAGAGTGGGGAATAGAGAGCACGTGAGGCGGAGCCTCTCTCTTGGAAAACGTAGAATTAACAATTGTGGAGCTCTATTATCGAAAACGTAAAATCAACAATAGTGGAGTCACTGGCATGCCCTTATACTTGGGGGAATAAGGTAGCGTGGTCAGAGTGGGCCTTGTTATCTAGGTGCCTGGGGTGGCTGGGCTATTTGTCCTTCACCCAAGTGGTAATCAGTTGCTTTACACTACTGCACTCTCGAAAAACGTAGAATAGACAGTAGTGGTGCGAGGTCCTTATACGGCCAATACACGACCCCAACCTTAGGAGGTTTGTCCGTCGCCTACTCATAATATTTTGTGCCTTATGCCTACTGGACCACAATGGTTGGTAGCACTAGCTAGAAAATAAAAAAGTGTGCGGTTCAAAAAATATTGGTGCAATGTAGTGCCTCCAGCACCTGGGTGTGCTGGTGGTTTATGCTCGGGCACTTGGGTGTGGTGGTGGTTTATGCTCGGGGGAATAAGGTAGCCTGGTGAGAGTGGGCCTTCACATCCAGGTGCCTGGGCGTATTCTGGTCAGGCTAGTTTGTCCTTTACCCAAGTGGTAATCAGTTGGCTGAGATCGCTCCATAGAGGCTGGAAATGCCTTTGTAACACTCTTAACCACATTCGACAAAAGGGTCTCAGGGGTCTTCGAAGGTGGGCCACGTGGGGCGCTGCAGGTCGTATTGTTGCCCAACACGGCTCGATCGATCTGATGGTGTGTACCTACCACTAATTATATCGTCTGATGCGAAGCCTTCGACGACGCCCACGAGAATAATGTATGGTGGTTTTTGGGTCCCTACCATAGTCCATTTCCTCTTTTTGGTTTATTTGTCGCCCCCAGGTAATCCATAACCGTTTTCTTATTTATATATTTATTTATTTTAAACACCTTCCATTTTATTACAAACAAACTTCCAATCACGGCTATGAACCTCTCAATTCAACCCGGGGCTATCGCGATAGCATCAACCCGTTTAGCGTATTCCTTGAGTACCAATCTGCCAGTAGCTCCCAGACTCTCTGATAGAAACTAGTAAAAAGTCAATTTAACCCAAATTACTCAGATCACCACCTTGACTGCACACTTCTTGTCTGCCTCCTACCAATCTCCCACCCTGATAAGGAAGGACCCCGACAATGAGCCTTATATGCATAATCCTTCCCACCTACTATCTTTAGCTTATTTGGGCCTGATGCCGACCCAAAATGACCGACGGGAACTCTGGTTCCGAGTGACTGTGACACTCTGCCACCCTCTACCCCTATGTGACCTCCTACGGTCGAGAGTCAAGAACAAGGCCGAAACCGAGTGCCCTCGTTCGGGAAAAATTTGAAGAGTTATCTACCTCTCTCAATCCATTTCCACAACGCGAGATTACCCTCTGGGGTAAGGTGGGCCAGCCGGCCCCCGAAGCACGAAGTTTTATGGAACCATCCCTTGTATCACCCGGCGTGACCAGTCTGCGTTGAGTGCAGTAGCTAGCATGGCCATGATTGTGGCTTCTGCCTGCAGTTCCAACAGGTTTTCATTCTGAAATCTTAGGCTTGGACCCCACTGCCTAGCGGCTGGAAACGGATGTTGGCCAAAAAATGGCTGAGTGTGGTTGGAAAGAACTTGCCGCGTTTCGTTGGGACCCCACTGCCACCCTTGACACTTGGCACTGGAAACAGCAGAGCATACCCGAATAGGAAATCCCCCCGGGGTGTTTCCGAAAAAGGCAAGTCGGGCAGGGGCTGTGGTCCATGACCTTCTATCGCCCTGCACCAGGACATATCCGTGTGTGGCCGTGCGTGATGGTAAAAACATGAGCATGTCTGTGGTGGCCTCCCAGTCAAAAAAACGGTCCCCGACGAGGGTGCATGGTCCACGCCGTCCAGCCGCCGTATGGAAACGGATGGACATAGCCCCCCCCCTGCTCGTCTGGACGCCTCCTTGGAAAGGGAATGGAAAGCGGTCAGTGTTGAATTTCCAGACCGCCGACCGTGTAGAAACGCCCCGTCAGCATTTCCGCGACCTGCTTCCAAGCACGGTGGGGTCTGGAATTCCTTTCCAGGGCGACTTTCCACATTGGTTTCCAACACTGGTGGGGTCTGGAAAACACTACAGCGCCCAAACTTTTCCAGGCCGCCGGGCAGTGGGGTCCAAGCCTTAGGCTGTTCCTATCCATCCAGATGACCCATCGTATAGTGGCACTTCTAGGCCGACTTTCCACATCGGTTTCCAGCACTGGTGGGGTCTGGAAAACACTACAACGCCCAAACTTTTCCAGGCCGCCGGGCAGTGGGGTCCAAGCCTTAGGCTGTTCCTATCCATCCAGATAACCCATCGCATAGTGGCACGTCCCACCTGAGCTATGTAACTGCGCAAGATCGGAGGTGGTGGGAAATGCATTGGCAAGGTTTTGCCAACCAACCCAGCATGATCGGACAGCGATGGGTATTGCTCGGCGCAGTGCCACAGGGGACCAAGGTTTCGGATTACCTGTCAAATCTGGACAGGACGGCCTTTCAGTCCTTTTTTTTTATTGTCATTATAGTATTACGGGGAACCACTCAGCGCAGTGCCACAGGGGACCAAGGTTTCGGAGGGCTGGGGTTACTATTACCTGTCAAATCTGGGCAGGACGGCCTTTCAGGCCTTTTTTTTTTATTGTCATTATAGTATTACGGGGAACCACATCCGTGCTCAAGCCTCCAACGAGGGAACATGCGGGAGCTGCACCCACCAGCAGGTGCGATACCTGCTACAGCAGGTGGGCGATACCGGCCAGGGGTCAGCCCGTAGCATCAGGACCGAGCTTCTTCGATGGGCCAGTCACTCTGCCCCCCCTCCGGTCCCCTCCCCCTATGAACATCAGCAGTCTCTGCTCAATGCCACTCGGGGGGACCAACGGCATATCTCTAGGTGGCGGGCGCCAAGCTTGCCCAGGAAAGTACATGAGGCCAATGGGGATTGAACCCAAGACCTCCTGAATGCCACTTGCGTGCCTTACCAACTGAGCTAGGCCGCAGGATCTGGGGCTGGGGTTCCACGGAACCATTTTTTGTTTTCTTTTTTTTTTCCTGATCTATCTCATTTTTCTTGATAGTACGCATCTATCTCATCCTCTCACTATTCTATATATAGTATGGGGGAACACCAACCAACCCGGATCCCTCCCCAGCCCACAGGGTAGGTTGGCACCACAGCTGTGGTGCGAGGGCAAGGCTGTACCAGTCCCTCATCACGGTGACGAGGGGTGGGCAGGAATTGCCGATGGGGGAACTCGGCGGTGCTAGCGCCGAGCAATTGCCAGTCACTGCACCTCCCCCTACCCCCCCCCCAACTCCACATGGCGCTGTCTAATGGTCAATATTGTCGCTGCATAGCAGCCAACAACATCAGCCAAAGTCCTGCCAATGCTGGCTTGGGGGGCCGACGGGTTATCTCTAGCTGGTAGAACACCAAGCTTGCCCAGGCACATCGTGAGGCCATTGGGGATTGAACCCACGACCTCCTGAATGCAACTTCTGTGCCTTACCAACTGAGCTAGGCCCGCAGGCCAACATGGAACCATTTTGCTACTCGTCTAATTCCCCTTTTTTGGTTCATTTGTCGGCCCCAGGTAATCCAGAACCATTTTGTTTGTTACTCATCTCATTCTTCTGACGGATTCGAGCTCCCGTCGGTTTGTCAATAGTCCGTGTCCGTGGGTACGTCGCGCCATCCCATGCAAGCGGAGAAATCGAGAACCGCGGGCGCTGTGGATTGCGTGCCTGCGGGCGGGTAATCAATCTCCCGCCAAAGGTACGCGAACAACCGAGCTGGGCGGCAAGGGGAAACGTAGAGGACGGCGGGGAAAGCAGCTGCTGTATGTTGTTCCGCTCCCATCTGGGGCCGAGGGTGTGAATGCTGGGCGCGCTGCCGGGGCTTTCGTCGACGCCCGCAACGTTGTGCCTCGTGCGGCACGTCGTGACGGAGAGCGGCAAGTGCGCGGCAAGTGCACGGCAAGCGCATTTGGTTGCGAGCCCGCCTGATCATCCCTCTGTGATCGGATCGAATCGAAATCGAAGCGAGTGTAATCGCTGCAATCTACTCCCCCGTGTCTTGCCTGATACTGGCGCTCTTTCGTGTTCCCTCTATTGGCTTTTCGCTGGCCGAATCGAAGGGATAGTTGACTGGTTCGTTCTCTTTTATTTCTCATTCCTTACGTCCTTCCCTCCTCCTCTCTCCTTTTCTCTCCGTTTCTTCCATCTTTTGTCCTTTCTTCTTGCATTTCGTAATATCTTCGGTCATTGACTCCTCGCCTCCTCTATCCTTGTCCCTTTGTCCTTGCCTTCTGTTCTCTTTCCTTCCCTCCTCCGTACTCTCGTTCTTCCTCCTCTCTTCCTTTCTTCCTCGTCTTCTCCTCTTCTTCTTCTCTTCTTCTTCGTCTTCTTCTTCTTTCCTCTTCTTCTTCTTCTCGATTCATCGTCTTCATTCCCGATTTCAGTTTTTTTTTTTTTTTTGTCATGTCAGCTTTAGGTTCTCTTCACCGTCGTGTTCTTCTTCTTCGCTGCATCTGAAACGTAAGATCCTCAGTTCAGGAAATTTCCATGCTTGCGGTCTCGTTTACGCGTCGTGCCTGTCCTGGTCAGCCACACACCCTCCTCTTCTTCTCGAGGTCGTCCTTACGTGTTTTTTCTTTAATATCTGTTGATTTTTATTTTGTATTTTTAGTTTGTTTTCTTGACTTGCATGAAACAGTGATGGAATTTCTGCCATCTCCTAAGCCGCAGGGTAATTAGTCGAATGGCGCTTTCAACATGTGATGGATGGCGGGATGCTTGCTTCGGGTTTTCCAGTCCCGATCCAATTCCCGACCCGCGGAATTCTCCACCCACTCTGAGGGGATACTCATACTAGGGACTTTTTCGACTCCGCTCTGGACGTAATTGAGGTCAGATACATCCCTGGTTTGCCGTAAAAGCGGTCAGGTGCGTCTCGGAAAGTTCCAATGTGAGTACGACCTAATTTTGATCTGGAGTCCAAACAAATTGGCGGGCTTGCCGATGTCTATCCCGGCGACTTTTGTTACCGACTTGATTCCGACGCTTGCTACTGCCGGTTCGAGTCCCGATCCAGATTCCGACCCGCCGAATTTTTGTATTTTTTTTACAAGAAAAGTTGGCTCATTTATTGCACACACAAAAAGGGGAAGGCCGGGAATCCCTCCACAAACAACCCTGAAGAAGGGAAAAGGTTGTACTGGGACCACTACCACCGGCGCTAAAGCAAGTAGTGTATAGATTAAAAATTGTTGGCTGTGGCGAGTTCTATCCCGATCCCGACCTCTTGTTAGCGACCCTATTACCGATCCTCTCTCCTTGACGCTGATCTTATGTGCTAACCCGACCCCGATCCTTACCGATCCCGACGTTGTAAGTGACGTCGCGAGGCGGCGGACGGGTTGGACAACATGAGGGTGGGCGTTTTTCATTTCCCTTAGTCTCGGCCCGTCGGGATTTGGTCGTGGTCGTCTCCCCTCCATGATCGTAGTCGCTTCTCATTGAACTCTTCTTTTTTCAATTTTTAGTACTTGTCGAAAATTTCCCTTGTCGTTCCGTACCTCTCCTCTACGCTTGGGAGGTGTGTGTGTGTGGATGAATGGTACGCGCGTGTGAACTAGTGATGAAGAGATGATGAGCTGAAATCCTGCTGGAGTCAGATGGATGCAATAATGTTAGGACTAACTCGTTGTAAAAGAAAAGGAAAGAGATTGACTTAGTATTAGAGGAGGATATCTGGGTGAACGGTTCAGGCGTGTTTCTGTTGATGATCAGATCATGAGCTCGAATACTGCTGGAATCAGATAGATACAAAATTGTGAGGCGGACACCGTAAAAAAAAAAAGAGAAGGAAATAGATTGAATGAGTAAGAGGGGGAATACGTGGCTGAACGGGACACGCGTGTGAACTGTTAATGAACAGATCATGAGCTTAAATCCTGCTGCAATCGGATGGATATAATACAGTAATGTTAGTGATGCCCCGTTGAAAAAGAAGAGGAAAGAGATTGAATTAATAATAATAGTAGGTGGGGATCTCACTGAATACTTCACGCATGTTTCTGTTGATCTAAGATCATGAGCTCAAATCCTGCTGAAATCAGATGGATGCAATAATCTTAGGACTACCCCGTCACGAAAGAAAAGGAAAGGGATTGGATTTAGTATTATTAGTGTTATTATGGTATCACAAGATCGCATTCTGTATGCTCATTGCTTGATATTGGATTCCTTGGTTTTGGGAATTTTGAATTCTCACATGGTTAAGAGTACATTCATTGTGAACAGGTCGGCGGGTTAGTGGAGATCCAAAGTGTGCAGGTGACATCTGGTGACATCAGAGGAGAAAGCGGTGCAGGGCAGTTCTAGGACTTGGTAGCTATGGCGGAAACGACAGCGGAAAGTTCAGAGCCTAACAAGACTGCCAGTACTCCGCCAGTAGCAGCCGCAGTGGAGGGTGAGGAGGATAAGGAGGAAGGAGAAATCTCCCCAAGGAAGGGAGAGGCTCGCTTGCCATCGCCGGAAGTTAGCAAGAAGCATTTGTTGGAACATGAATGGACTCTGTGGTTCGACAATCCCAATGGACGCCAGAGGCAGACCACGTGGGGAAACTCTCTTCGCTCCGTCTACACTTTCGGAACTGTTGAAGACTTTTGGTGGTAAGTTACCACCTCTCTCTCTCTCTCGCCCCCTGACCTCTCTCTCTCTCTCGCCCCCTGACCTCTGTCTCTCTCGCCCCCTGACCTTCTCTCTCTCTCTCTCGCCCCCTGACTTCTCTCTCTCTCTCCCCCTGACCTCTCTCTCTCTCTCTTCCGTCTCTCTCTTCTCCGAGCCCCCCTCTCTCCCGTCTCCCAAATCTCTTCCCCCTCTCTCCTGTCTCTCGTCTGTCCCCTATCTCTCTCCCCTGCCCTTCCTCCTGCCCCTCTACTGTCCCTCTCCCCTCTCTCCCCACCTCTGTCTCTGTCCCGTCTCTCTTCCCTCTCTTCCCTCTCTTCTTTCTGTCCTCGGTGGTAAGGCGAAAACCCGTTTTTCTTTCTCTCCCCTCTATCGCTCCCTCTCTCTCCTCTGTCCCCTCTGTTCCCTCTCTTTCTCTCCCCTATCCGCGCCCCCGGGATCCCCTCTCTCTCTCTCGCCTTCCACTCTCCTCCCCCTCCCTCTCGCCTCTCTCACCTGTCTGTGCTCCCTTTCAAAGTTTTCCACGTCTGTTGCGGTCGTTCCTGTTCTCGTCGTTTCCCGCTCGTTCCCGCTCTCGTCCTTTCCCGCTCTTTCCCGTGTCAGTCATCATCTCCCCTGGCGCGCTTGACGTCCCCATCTCTGCCGTTCGCATGTTGAATTCCTTTGTCCTTCTCTCCATCGTTTAGTTTTGCCCGATCTGCGCTTGTTCTTGCTGTCCGGCATTCTCTCTACTGTCCCGTTTGCCCAGCACCCTACCCTCTGTCCGTGTCGATTCCTCGCCTGTCTTCGCCCTTTCGTCGCTGTGCGCTCTCTCTTACCCTTCGACTCTTCTTTAGCGTACAGCGTCAGTGTCTGCTCTCCGTTGTTCTTCTCTCTCGTGGGACTGTTTCTTCTCTTTCGCGCACAGCGCAGAGGTCTGCTGTTATTGAAGGCTGTCTTGCCCGCGGCCTCGTCTCGATTTAAACTGGAAGAATCGCTCGCCTCTTTTCTACTGCATGAGGTTTATTCGTCGGGATCGCACGGCCGTACATCGCTTAGAGTCTGAGCACATACTCGCACTAGGACTGTCCTGAGATGTATCTGACCGTAATCAGAGCCTGACCTGAATGTATCTGACCTCTTCTGAGAGATCAGAACGACTGCATATTTTCTTATCCTCTCACGTGATTGCCATCCCTGCCCTCTTTTTCTCTCTCCACCCCTTCCCTTTTTTTCTCTCTCCGCTTCTCCCGCCGCCTCTTCTTCTCCGTCAATCCCCTCCTTCCCCTCTTTCCCCTCCTCCTTTCTCCCAACCGAGCCCTCAACTCGTGACGCTCTTCTCGGGCTCGTCCCTCGCACTTACCGCCGACATTGCTTGCTTGATTTCTTTTTGTCTCCCTGTCTAGGACCACGAGCAGTGTCCTTCCTCGATGCCCTGCCTCCTTTTCCCACGGCCTATCTAAATACCAGTTTTTTTAATGTATTTATTCCTTTGCTTGTCCACCTCGGCTTTCAGGGCCTTCCTTCTTCGGCCACATGATGCCTATGCAAAGGAGGAAGGAAGTCCGGGGCGTGCTTTCTCACGCATGTTCTGAAAGAGTAGGCTGAGGTGGATGACGTGTGTTCTTTACCCATCTTCTTCCCTTTCCCTCCCTTACGAATATCGATAAAATTGAACCAGTCGCTCCGCTCCGTTTCCGTCCTGCCTCCTCCTGTTACGGCATCGGGGCCTTATCTGTGGACGTAATTGCGGTCAGGTGCATCCTGACCTGGGTTCTCACCGTGTCTTTCTCATGGCCGAGTTACTGGCAGAGGTACTTTCCACAGCACCTTCTCCCACTCTCTCTTTAATCTTAGATAAATCTAATGGCCACGATTCATTTGTTTTTCGAAATGGAAAGTAAAGATCAACTGAAGTCTTACCATTCTTATGTCTATTTTTTACTAAACTTAAAAATTAAACATGTTTTTAACACTGTGCCCATGCAGACCTAATATTAGATTTAGTATGTTTAAATGCGAATCTGTCGAGGTAATTGCGGTCAGGTGCATCACGGCCTGGGTTCTCACAGTGTCTTTTTCGTGGCCGAGTTCCTTGCAGAGGTACTTTCCACAGCACCTTCTCCCACCCTCCTGACTCGCCGTCGCTTCTCTTCCTTTTGTTCACGTGTACCTTCCCGCTAGATGCAGTAGTTCTCTTGGACCCTTCCCTCCATGACCCTCTTTACCCTTTCTCTACGTGCTCTTCCCCTCTCCCCCTCCTGTATTCGACGTAGGCCATCCCCTGCGATCTAAGTTCCCCGCTCCACGGGCTCCCTGCCTCTACCCGAAGTCGTTACTGTCTTCGCCTGATCCCTTCACAGTATTACTCCTTTGACCACGTAATTTAGAATCAAGGTGAAGCGATTTGGACAAGTGAAAATTCAATTGGAGAGCCATCAAACCGAATTGGTCAGTTTAATTTTCCTACTTAGTAGGACATTATCAGAACCGATTTGAGCAGCAGCCGATATATGTTGGGAGAAGTGATGACCATTTTGGACATACCAGATATACGTTGGGAGAAACGATGAGAATTTTGGACAAAAGGATTTAACAGTTTGAGCGCTTGATAGAGTTAGGCAGATTGATTCAACAATTATTACTACGAGTATTGCCAAAACCACATTTAGTCCAACAATCAACCGATTTGAGATTCTGCGCAGACCATCCGGGCGGACAAGGATATCAAATTAGTGAAGTGATTTTGCGTGTTAGTCACATGCGTCGTCTGAATCACGGGGCTGCTGCTCCCGTAAACTGTCGACCTAGGACTTCGCCTCGATTAGCTTTGCCGAAGTTTCGTTGAAGTTCGTGTCACCTCTCTAATCCATTTGGCACATCTCGGCCTAGGTCGACGAGGATTTCGATTGCATCAATCAGATTCCCCTGCCCCCCAAGTTCCT